TTCCTTAGTTACTTGCTATGGAACCTCATTTAATCTAAGGGCATTATAGCTGTGTGGTGGAAAAATCATTCCCTSAAGGCAAGAATCAGTCTCTTGAAGTGCTGACAGGCAGCCACACAGAAAGTAAAATTTTGATTTCTTGTTTCAAATCCTGATTTTTTTAAAGTATAAAATGAAAGAGTCATACAATAGTTTAAATAGAAATGAAAGTTCAAAGCAGAGACTTGAAATCTTTTGATCCAGGAAGGCTGGGGGACATGTTTTTAAAATATCAAAATATCCTTCTGGCTTGCATGTATAACATGCCTTCTCATCCTTTTTTTCTTCTTGCAGCACTTCCATTTYGATCAATGTTCTGATAAAGTGTGATTCCCTCCAAGTTTCTCTGACTGTCTCTGAAAGGAAAGCACGATCGAGTGTGTGTTCAGTTTTGATTTCAGCTCTGTGTAGGTGTGGGTTGCCCACCTATGACTTTGATAGAATTTTTCTCTAAGTCTGTCTTCCTAATGACATTTTTGACTAACACCCCTTCAGCTTCCTCTTGGTTCTACAGTCTCCAGTACATGTCCTTCCACATTAGCTCATAGGTCTAGATCAGCCTTTTKTTGCTTCCTACCTAACAATTTCATTTTTATACATTTTTATACATTTCTTCCCTTCTCAGTTCTGGCCTCATCCTCCCCACTCACACAGTTTCCAATCCAAACTGCATTTACACCTGACAGTCATTTTTCTTTTAATAATAYTTCATCTCCAGCAGAGGATTAGCACTTCTTCCCCTTTGATCTCCAGATTTTTGACCCCTTACACCTTTTCCTCCTGTTTTTCCCCCCCCTTTCTTTTAATATCTTTAGTCACCTGTCATAGCTTTACAGCTCTCAGCACTATATAATTTTCATGGCCTTTATCTATATATACACATTACAACTACACCAACATACACATTTCAGTGTAGTACCTATTTTCCTTCCTGTGAAATGCATGATGTAACATGATTTTGCCAAAGTTTGCTGGTGATAAATTTAAGAATGAGGAACAAAGGGGTCTTTAGCAGCCTATACTTCTATTATTTCTATTMTTTCTACTATTTCGATTACTGCTACTATTTATGGAAAGCCTATACTTCTGCTGGTATCTTCTTTATGTGGAAGTAATTAATTATCAATTTCAGAGGAAATTCAAGCTCATTAAAGCTTGTAAGAGAATTGGTTTGTAAAGCAGTGAATGTTTCMAATGGCTTGGACACCGTTGAGTCTCTTTTATTCCAGCATCTTTTTGTGTGGCTGACACTCAGTCTCTGAAGTGCCCTGTCACTCTCAAGAGGACAGCTTTCTGAGAGTGAGAATTTGCAGAATAAGATGTAGGACCCATCAGGAGGGTGCAAATCAGTGGTCTCACTTAGAGCCTTGAAGCTGATTGTACACCATATGGGTGTGCTGATAGAAATAGAGATGAGGAGGACAAATGACAATTTTTGTAAGAGAGGTGGCCTTGGTTTTTAAAAACGTCCCATGTCATGCTTAGAGCAGTATTCAGATTGAAAAACTCACTCATTTTTAAAGACAGCTCCTTCAGAACAAGATTTTGTTTCAGCCATCTATGTATTATATCTATATAATTAATGAAGCAAACAACCTTTGTGTTTGATCGACAAACACAGTGACCACTACTGAGCAATAACTTTTTCTGTTGTCCCTTTTTCTCCTTCCACAGCAACTACAGTGCACTGTTAGGAGTGTGGATCTATGGCTTTTTTGTGGTGATCTTACTGATCCTGGACCTTTTATATTACTCCTCAATGAACTATGATATTTGCAAATTTTACCTGGCCCGGTGGGGAATCCAGGGGAAGTGGATGACACAGGGACAGAGCCGATGGATTAACCCTGCTCAGGACCCACGACAGACACAGCCTCAGCCAGAGACACAGCCTCAAACTCAGCCCCAGCCTCAAACATCACAGACAGTACACACTTTAAAAGGAGATGCTTTAAGCCCACCCCTGGTGTCTTTTCAGAGTACATCTGCCTGGTAAGTAAGCTAAGACGTATTGATATATATTTTGCTGTTTTGGAGTGTGAACAGTCACCTGTATTTAGAAGTGCCTGCGAATTCAGGCAGAACAGCACCATTTCTAGCTCATAATTCTTTATATCATGACCTGTCTTATAGAATTGCTGCCTAGGAGTAATATTTTACTCTGGAATATGTTAAGTCATCTTTTAATCCTTTTCTCARAGAAATAGGTGCTGCCATCTTTCAGTGCCAAATAGTTTTACCACTCTGTCATACCAATAACTACAAATCTACATCAACCATTATAAAAGTGGCTTTAATCCTGTCTCAAAGAATAATTGCTATRTGTATCTGTTGCTCTGGTTTTAAAAGACAGTATAAATAGCAACATTGAAATAGCTTCAACGTGAGATGTCACAAACGTGCTCTATTTGTGGCATGAGAGACACAGAAACAACATAAAAACCAGGTTAGTTTTTTTATATGCATAGCCAAAAAAAAAAAAAGCTTTGCTTGATCTCATTTGGCAGAGTGACACAAGTAGGCTACTGTAAGGTTAAATGCTATGAAACCAATACAAAATCTCAAAAARGTCCCTGACCCAAAGGGAGACAGATCTATTGGAGCAAGCAGAACTTGCAGTATAAATAGAAGAAATTAAACACAGATAGCCATGGGACAAAATGACATTGGATTATTTTGGACTTGTTTTGCCAAAGAAAACAAAAGCAAAGGGAGAGAGCTGAATAAAACATTTCTCTGAAAAAGGTGTCAAGAAAGGCAGGGACTTTTTTCTTGGCAAAAAAAGCATTAGGATTTGGAAGGATGCAGAGAGAGTACCGAGTCACCAGTGTATTTTAGAAGAGTTCCAGAAGGCTGAGTGTTGAGTTTTGGCAAAATAAAGTGATCTAAGAATGTGYTGGGTGAAAAAGATGACATCAGTTCCTGAAGCTATAGAACACATAAAGCTTCAGCACTGAGCTCAGTCGGAAACTTTTGGGTAKCCGAGTTTTGCAGATGGGATGATAACAGTGATAGTCCTTTGATTTCATCCTTTGCCCCCTAAAGTGTAAATCTAGAGTGAGTAAGTTGAAGATTTGTTGCAGTAGAGAAAGAATGTATGGTTAATTCAGTGAAAGAGGAGGTTTCTTGGCATTGGAGCCATTACTGGATATATCCAGGGCAAACCAGACCTAAAGACCATTCCAGCAGGTCGTGTTCAAACAGAAAGGTCTGATGCTTCTACTTAAGAAAGAAAATTGCTTGTACTTAGTTGTAAGCATTCTTCTTTTCACTTCCTCTTTCCTTTTTCTTTCCTCCAATTCTTTCAGCTCTTTTGCACTTTGATTTCCAGGTCTCCAGTTAAAATTGCCCTGTAGGTTAAGAACTGCTTTTGTACTACAGTAATTATGTCCTGCCTTAATATGTGTGTGTACATGTACAAAAATGGCTGCATCTGTGAATTTATATGCTATTAGTCTGCCATACCATTACAGATTTGAAACCATTCAATAGTTSTTGAAGGATTCATCGCTGGTCACTTCTCATGATGACTCTCATTGGTCTGTTTCTTTGCTTTTCTCGAAGTGTTAAGCGGGCAATGTATGTTAGGATCAGGTGAGCACATCCCATATGCTCCTTTCCCTGTGTTGGCAGGAGATGAGCATTGATAAGGCACTCCAGTAACACTCACTTCTTCCCTAATGAGCTGTTTGTGCTCTCAGTTCCCATAAAATCATTCAATTTTTTCCCCCTAGTCCTTTCATTGCTCAGTGGAAGAGCTAAGTAGTGTTTCCCTATCAAAACCCTATTTATCCCTTGTATTTCAGTAYATAAAACACTACAAGAGGTGCCATATTTTCATTCTTGTAACCTGCAACTTTGGAGCTCAGAGCCCATGAAACCAAGTGCATAGATGATTCAGTTTGAGTTGGATACATAAAAAATAGCAATAGGCACTGGTGATCACAGGCAACATGTTTAGCATGCAAAAGAGGATTTTGAGTAAACAGCTCCCTCAGAAAATGACAGATTTGTGTACTACAGCGATTTCTAAAACAGTGGGGAGTGGGTTGCCTYGCTATTTATTTCTCTGTTAGATAATCTGCAGGTTATATACATGAAAATATGGTAATTTTGCCCTACAGAAATTAAGCTTAGTTTCAAAGTCTGATTTTCTGCTCCAGTCTATATTTGATGAATGACCTCAGTACTACCTTCTCTAAGTGTAATCATACAATTAGTGGAGAAGCGCAATGGACTTACTGGGTTTTTAATTACCATCACTATTTCTAAAATTACTGAATCTATTAAAATATTTGGTTTAAATGTTATACCTGAATTTCCAGTATTATAGATGATGACACCTGCTTTGGTAACACCAGGTTTCCAGTCTAAAAAAATCAACTTTTYGGTTTATGTTGCCATTTTAAAGTGTCCTAAACTTATCCCAGTTTTTCTGTCTGTGGAGAAAATAAGCATTTTTTCTTTAGCACCTCACAGACATAGTATTTGTGTGTATATATATGTATGTGTATATATATATGTATGCAGTGTATATCTATATATCTATATATATATATAGATATAGATATATAGGTGACCATAAGAATAGTTCCTGTTTGCAGATGAGCATTTTTAAAATGCAGAATAGATCTTTTAATCCTGAGAGGTATGAATATACCCCCAGGCATAAAAATTTAAATACTGTAAGAACATTTTCCAAACCAGTTTGCAAGTTTTCATGATGACAGATGTTAACTTCCTGTTCTACATTCATCTGAGCAYAGTTAAAAATATGCCCATTCCAGAAGACACTACATAATGATAATAGGAAAGTGATTCTTGCACATCAGAAACCTCAGTAACAATCCCCTAAATATTGCAGAGAACTGATGATGTAAGAAGATGTCCCAAGAAGKATGTCAGGATTAACCTACAGCTTGTAAAGCAGTTTTTGGATCTTCCTGGATTTTAAAAAAAAAATGTAACTAGTTTTTATTTCAGCATTTCTGTCCTTGTCCTAGTTTAAATGCTACGAATTGGCAATGAATTGGGCATGTCAGAGAGAAAAATCAAGCAAGTAATAGTATAGAGTGGGTAGGAGCAGGTAGGAGCATCCCTATGATGTTTAAACATTTTGTCACAGTGGATCACTTCGTTGTTTACTCAAGACAAAGAGAACCATGTATAGCCATAATATTATTATAAGTGGAGAGGTCTGGAATCTATTAGGCAAGATGCTGGCTGCTCTGGCAGTGTTGTGCAAGGATAGGAAAGAAAATCATTAATCTCAGGAGCATCCAACCTGATTTGGACTAACGTTGCTTCGTCCTGTAGTGTGTGGATTTTGCAGCCCAACTAATGCTGATTTCTTCTTATTATGAAAACCATCTGAGGGCTGTCCAAGGCCTGTGTGGGCTAAAGGTCCTGCTGGATGTAYCTTCTGCAACCCAAACGCCGTCAGAGCCCGCGAGTGCCCGAGCTCACACAGCTCACAGCTCCTCTCGTGCTTCCTGCAGCTCAYGCTGAGGGGCACAGAATGAGCCCCTCCACACCCCCTGGCCTGGGGGASAACCTGCACTCTGCTTTCCTCAGCAAGCTTGAACAGCTGGAGTTTGAGAGGCAGCGAGCAGCAGGCAAATCCTTTCTACCGCTCAACTAAGTGACGGCCAGGGAGGGGATAAAATGAGATCTTGCACGGGGAATAGAAATACAGAGAAATAGAGCTGGGGAATAGAAATTCTGACTGCTGAAACAGCTCGTTCTCACAGCTGTGGAAATACTGTTAATTAATAGTAATTAAAATGGTCAGACTGGAAAGGAAGATCTCATAGGACGTGGGCCAGGGCAGCCTGGCAGAGTTTCCCCAGGTCCTCAGAGGCTGAGCTGTGTTCTAGATGTGAGGGGAGACCTGATCACYCTGCCTTGCTCTGCTGATGTTAAACTGCTCCCGACCTGCAAATCCCAGGGAACAAACACTGTCTCAAAGTCCTACATTTGCCTCCCTGTTGGCTGCCTTTCTGCACAGCAGCAGGCAGAGGTGATGTCTGTGATCACACACACGCTCCGTGATGCTCAGTTTCAGAAACCTGCTGCTTCTCTAGAATCAGGAAAGGTTTTAGCCCAGCAGGGTTAGTCCGTGTTATTTCCTTTACACAGCTGGAGTGGATTAGGCAAAGGCAAGCCCATTTCACGTTCCCTTATTAAATGTTGGAATCTGCTTTTGCTGTGAATTCCTCTGGGGTACATTGYTTTTTGGACAACAAATAGAATAGTTTCTAGCCTGCTGCTATTCACCTGCTACTTGACACCTTTTCAGATGACTACCAAAGCATTTACATACAGAGAGAGAATAAAGCCTTTAAAAATCCTGGCAGAGTTTAGGAGCCAGCAGGAGCATGTCCACAGCAACTGTACAAAAAAAACACATAAATATTTTGCTGATGGCTACAAAGACTGTGTGAAAGAATTTGCTTTGATACCAAATGTTGAAACAGGATGGAGGTTATCACTGCAGTACTTCCTTCCGTGAGTTCCAAGAACTGCAATCTTGCCTTTGTCATGGGGCACTGGTGCTGCAGTGGGTCACTGTGAACACAGTCCACCAAAATCGTGAGCCTTTGGGTTGACAGAGGAGTTTGTGCCGAGGCTGCTCTTGATACAAGTTATTTATAGTAACCAAGGGAAAAAAGCTGTCTCGTTCCATTTTAAGTAAGTAAGAAAGATCTTAACTTTACATTTGCAAAATTACTTCACTGATGCTGTTTTAAAGATGCAGAATTTTGCATCATAGGGCAAAGCATAACTTTTATTTAGAGCTCCATCACAGACTTTCATATTAGACTAAATAGGGCAAATCAGAACATCAGTAGTTTTTTTGTTTTTTTTTAAAAGGATAGAAATAAATAAAATTGAATACTTACATTGTGCTTTTATGAAAGAAGCCTCTGGAAATTGACATCATCTGGAAAATCTGTTTGGTAACAAAGATTAGGTGTCTTGGGCAACATCTA